AGTGCTCCTTGATTTAGTACGTGTGTTTTACTTTATTTCCATGTTTATGTCTGTGCCGTGGTTACACCGGTGACACTCGTTTCCCCTGGCCAGTCTAAAACATACGGCTGCGCCAAATGTTTACGTCATGCTTACTCGCTGGATGACTTTACGGCCACGTAAATTGATACGTTGCATACATATCAAGCAACCGATTTCACAGGTCTTGTTTGTAATGTAACAGCGTGTATATTGGACAAACTAATATGCGTCTCCGCTTATAGCTGTAATGGATATATTATAACTCACAAGGCAATGCCGTTACTTAGATTCGTCAACCATGGCATGACTTAATGGACCTATTATTCCGTTTAAGGTAAAATGTTTGGTTAAACACGAATGTTGTATGTAAATAAGCTATGTGGTCTCCCACACACCGGAATCGAACCCGGGCGCCGCGGGCGGTGAGAGCCGGCCGAGATCCTAACCACCTAAGACCATATGGGAGCAAGCTTCTTGTATCCCAGCAAAGATTTTCGTTGGTGTTTTCTTCTGTCAGCGGAAATCGTATTCGTAAGTAAATGTTTTTGGTAAACCAAATTAAATGTATCAGTTGCGCAGACCCGGGAATGGCAAGACACGGGCCGCGGTGGCGTGAGGAGGCCGCAATCCGTACACCGCATGCAGCTAGACTAATGGGAGAGCGTGGACATATAGTGTTAGTGACGTATTGTCTGTTATGGCCTATGTAAATGCATCTACATGTAAAGGGCCCTATAGTTCTAACATTATGTTCGCCATATCACTCATCTCCTTTGACTTGGATGCAATCGTGGTGGGCTTATTCAGGTTTTTCTGAGGGAAAATTCGCAAAGGAGGGAATGGCGCAGTTGGAAAAAAAACCGCATCATGATGGAGTTCAGAATACAGGATGCTAATTGATATACTTATAGTTATTACGAGTATAGTAGATACAGGATGTACTTATCGTAAGGATACAGGAACATTTCACAACAGCGATGTTCAAGATTCTGTCGAGCCGAACGACGCGGCGTGCGCTACTGCTGCACTCTGTACTGTATGAAGGAAACCCTGTCTACTTGCCGCGTCCCCTGAAGATTGTGCCTGGTTGTTAGCAGTGTTTGACCTAGGTATCGGAGTAAAAACATTCGCAGTATGGTATTATATTCTGCCGGGTTGGGCGTGGCGGGCCCTTGCTGTCTCCCATTGCTTGCGCGTGTAAATTTTTGTCTTATTACGTATCTGACGGAATCGGCTAGGGCGGCGTCTTATTGACGCGGTCCGGACTCAGATTATGGGTTCGTGTCATCGTTCAGGGCGCCTCTAGCAGGGCGATTAGCGTATCTTACTGCTTTTTTTTTTATAAGTTTTATTTGATTCATCTGGTATCTGGCGCGCTGATTGGATCCTGAAGGGGGTTTCTGTCGGTTCTTATGTCTGCTGTCTTGGTCAGGTGCTTTCCGAGACCATAGACGCGATTAAAGCTTGTGTGCGGGCTGGGCTTAGTCTTGCGCTCGCTGGGGGTTCGGTGCGGACGCTTACTTTCCAGCTCCCCGTGCTGTGTCTTGGTCGTGGCGGGGTAATCTGTCCTCGTGGGGACCGAATGTGAAGTTATTGCTTAGGTAGGAGTTGAGAAACTACCGCGCCTCCAAGTCGAGGGCTCGTAGCGTCCACGTGAATCATTGGTCATAGCGGTTAGGAAATCGCTTTTATGTCCATCAGCAGTAGAGTGTGCAGGTGTGTTAGGATTGGGTGAGACACGTTATCGCGTTCACAGGCATACGGTCAGAGGACCTCGAGCACAGGCGCTGCGAATGCCGTATAACGGAGGTATACATCCCATACTTAAAGCTTTGTGGAGCATATGTCTTGCTGGCTTATCATGAATGTTGTGACTGAGAAACGCAAGTAGGTGATAAGCGTGGGTGAGCTGTAAGTGAGACAGAACTATGTAAGGGATTGCCAGAGCAACGCGGGCGATCGACAGACCCGAAGCGGGGACCTGAGCGGGCGGGTGAGAGACGGATGAGCGCAAGAGATGAGAGGAGAGAAGCACACTAGGAGACGACATTGGCGGAATGAGGCTCCTTGAAAGTCGTGGTTGTTGGTCTCGCTCCATATCGTTCTGGTGTGTCATGTGCTGCAAGCCGGAGGCTTCTTGGCAGGAGCTGTTTCGGCGATACTTATATTGTCATCTGATCCGAGCTAGATAGGTCGAATAGTTCTTGTTTTTTTAACTTGTATATTTGTTATATAAGATCGGTTAGTGACATTAGCTCGCTAATGAGCGGATCTAGTGTCCGCGCGGATTGATTCGCCTATATCGCCTTTTGCATCGTGCGTGCAGGTGTCGTTTAGTCGGATGTGTCTGTTTATCTTAGTGGCCGTGCCCACCTCGACGGGGAATTTCGAGAGACTCCCTCGCGCGTCAGCATGGCGGTTCGTAGGTTGAGCGCAGAGCGACTAACACTAGGACCGAGTACTGAGGGAGCCAAACATAGATTGCTCAGTGTAGGTACACCAAAGCCAAAAGGAACTAGTTTGTTAAAGAGCAGAGTTTTACTCTAGGCTTCTAGGGTGTATTTTTAAGGCT